ATTTAACATCAGTAGTTCTATCAATATAAAATATATATAACACCAATTTAACATCAGTAGTTCTATCAATATAAAATATATATAACACCAATTTAACATCAGTAGTTCTGTCAATATAAAAGAAATACGTACAACAGTTACCAGGAGAATAAACGTGCATGAACCAGTTCCTTTACGACCATTGCTTACTCATCAGAATCCATTTCCATTTTGGGTATCGGTGGTGTTTCGTGGTAAGTCTAGTATACCTATCTTCGGCATCAGGGTTGCTACCATGAATCCTATTACCATTGGAAGCATTGAACTCTAATAAATCATATGGAAGACTTTCTAGATTCTGAAAGAAAAACAGATAAGATTATTGTAGTAGAAAGGGGGATCTTGTCGTTGTATTTTCTTTTTTACCTATTTAAGAAGACAGAAGCAGTCGCATCGTGGCCTAATTATCCAAATCAAGCTTAATCGGAGATTTTGTTGAGTTTTGGTCGAGGAGCCAAACTAAACTAGAAAAACATGTAGGGAAAAGTCACCGGGGATCAGTTGGACACTACACAGGCCGTTCAAGCCGGCGCGGGAGACGCCGTTCGTTAACAAATGTTGAGGATCACTCCTTTTTACTACCGTAGAAGAAGAATCGAAAAGATGTTTAATATTGACAACAAAAATTGAAAAGGCAGCTCCTTTGTTTAAAGATTTGAAACGACACATCCCAAGGTCACAATCCTTCTCTTTAAGGATTCAACTCAAAGGGTTAAATTTGTTACTATTTATGCTCAAACCCTGTTTAAAATAGGCAGACAACACATGTCAATGTGTAATTCGATGAATATTCCAGAATTGTCCACATGTAAATTTTATTGGGTGAATATCTTAATGATTTAGAATATGTGTGATCATGGATGTCAGGACAGAAACACATCTAGATCTGCATTTTCAAATATGCCTTGATAGAAAGATAAGTGAGCTAACCAGCTACGAAGCAATCTTAGATAAACACATGACATAATTAATGAAAATTAGGCAAGCAATAAGAATACTAACTTCATTTTGTTCACCATTTCTGGAATTGTCTCTGGATGTTCCTGGTAACAATTCATCCTGATGCGACTCCATTGATTCATTATCACCTTCATCTCTTAAGTTTCCTGGTAACAATTCAACCTGATGCGACTCCATTAATTCATAATCACCTTCATCTCTTAAGTTTCCTGGTAGCAATTCATCCTGATGCGACTCCATTAATTCATAATCACCTTCATCTCTTAAGTTTCCTGGTAGCAATTCAACCTGATGCGACTCCATTAATTCATAATCACCTTCATCTCTTAAGTTTCCCGGTAACAACCCCTCCTGATGCATCTCCATTGATTCATGTTCATCTTCATCTCTTAAGTTTCGTGATAAAGATTCATCCATTGATTCATAAATACCTTCATCTCTTAAGTTTCCTGGTAAAGATTCATCCATTGATTCATAAATACCTTCATCTCTTAAGTTTCCTGGTAAAGATTCAATCTGATGCAACACTATTGATACGTGTTCACCTTCATATGTAAGTAAAAAATTAAATCTTTAATAACAATGTCCTTTTGGACATGACTAATAATTTACCATCAACAACAAAGTTTTAAAATTCAGATTTTATTTACAATTTACATTATGAAAATAATAATAATATTCA